TGATAAAATGCGCACAATTAGAAAATACAAATACTAGTATAAACTCTACATACAACATTAACAATTTCAAGCACAAAGTTATTAAGAAAACACAGGTATTTTAAAATATGTCTACCTTAATTTTGTTTGGCTATATGTAATCACTTCTGGTCTATGTTTAACGATAAAAGCAAATAATTGAATACTATACTATCATTTCTGCAGGGAACAGCTTTGCATAGAGTATAGGCACTGTTTTCTCTACTTGTATAGAAAATAGCTTTTTCTTCCAGTGTCATTTGTCCTTAATTGCATAAACTAAACTTTACTATAATTTATATCTCGTAAAAAGGTCCATCTTTAAAAATTAAGTTATAACTTTGTCCTACTTTTAGTTATCTATGGTTTTAACAATAATCTATATGTAAATATATTTGGCTGTAAAGATTTTGGTGCTTGTTAAAAGACCCTGTCAAATGTTTGAGAAAGGTAATAATGTAATATTTATTTACCATTACTGTATTGTTCTAAATATAGCAGATAAAATTCTTAATAATTAAGTAATTCCAAGATTTCAACATGTTCATTTTATCATAGAATTGTGTGGGTTTTTTTTTAATATCTATAGTAAAGCATGTTTATGACACAGTTTATACTTGGTTAGAAAAAGCTCAGCACTCGTGTAATATACATGTTTATGACACCTTTGTTTTGTAAAGCTCAACTCTCGTGTTATATACATGTTTATGACACCGTTTTAAGTTTAGAAAAGCTCGGCTCTCATGTAATATATTGTTTATGTCAGTTTATCCTTGGGCTTGATTAGAAAAAAGCACTTATGACACGGGTTTATACTTGTTTAGTAAAGCTTGGCTCCTGTGTAATATCATTAAATGTTAGTACATGGAAAATTGTAATAATATTGCATCATAGAGTACCCAATTACATGTTATATATTGCACTTCACCCTGCGTTATTCTTGCTTGCCAGCACTCGTAGTTTAATACCTCGGAATTTCACATCGTAAAATGTTTAATATAAACTGTATTCCAATGTGAGGGTCTAGTATGATGATGGTGTATATAAGTTAAGTATATATAATGTATAATACTGTTAAATATGCCAACTATTTTCATTCTCAATATTCAAAACAAGAAAACAAAAACAAAAATTCAATGAAAAAAAATGTTCATATCTAACAATAGAGCATATGTTTAATATTGCTTTGGCAAAAAGTGATTTGAAAAAACTGTTTCAAAAACTTAAAACTGTTGTATAAATTTACATGTACATATATATATTTTTACTACATGATTTACGTGATTATGTAGAATAGTATATATCATAATAAAACAACATGTACAACTTATACTTGAAAATATCTGATTACTAACGTATGTTACAAAATAACCTGTCTGGTATCCATCATTAAGAATACCTTGACTTTGTGTACTAAATTTGCAATGTAACCATGACAACTATGTAACCATGACAACTATGTTTCCAGTTTCAGACGAGGCTCACAATATAACCTGTTGTACCTCGCAGCCCATTCTATATCCTATTATATCAGTTTTGTACTTACATAATTTATCAAATATCAGCATACATGTAATATCAAACATAAAACAATTATCAATTACTATATAGGCCATAGAATTACAGGGACTGAAAAACATTACAACATTTTGCTGTAACTAATGCTGGATTGTTATTTTCCCATTTAAATCTGTTTCCATTACCACTGCTAATGCATTAGAGCTCCAGAGCTCCGACTTCCGTGGAAAATATAGTGACTTTGACCTTGACCTCTCAACGGAATTTCCATCCTCTCTGTGTCTGATGCTAAAGTTTTAGTCAAAGTGCTATTTATATCATAACTAACATAGCTGTCAGTGTAGTTACGTCTTATATTTTTATCGGTATTCCCGCCGCTGCGGGGTTTCCTATCACAATGATATCTATCTTGGTTAATATCTTTCCTATCATCCAGCTGGCTGCTCCTGCTTGAATATCTACCAATATTGTTTTTACTAGCAGACCTATCTACTTGTTTTGCTTGACTAAGACTATTTGTGCTTTGATTATCAAGACTAAATTTTACTACATTTTCTAAATTATTAACTTGAACACGACACATAGGGTCATGGTTTTCTGGTATACTGCCATGACGAAAGTTACGATTACGAATAATATCAAAGTTTTCAAGGTCATTTTCTAACTCTTCTTGCGTTAGATTCATTCCTTTATATTCACATTTTTTAGTTTTAACCTTCCTCTTTCCTTTCCAACAGAGCAACTGTCTATCTCTCGCCTGTAGCAGGCCGAATATAACACCAAATAGAATAATTGCCGCAATACACAGAACAATCACCCAGATAAAAAATCCTAACATATCTGGATCGAGGAAATTCAGCAGTAACTTTTTCTGGCATAAGCCATCGCGTTTCTCGTACCCGTCTTTACATTGAAAACAATCTGCTACTTGAGGTCCCTTACATGTTCTGCACGCCTCGTGGCATTCGTTACAAATACCTTGTCTCTGAAATTTTGGCCTCTGGGAAGAGGTATTTGAGGTTGAACGTAGCTGAACCATTTGCATGATTCCATAATAATGTTCCGGACAATTGGCTACACAACCATCCTTTAGTTTATAGAATCCTGGTCGACACTCTGAAAGAGCAATAAGACTACGATAAAACATAATATAATGTACCTAAAACAGTTTTTATCCAAGTTTACTTGTTCAAAACAGGTTTAAACAAAAACCAGTCTAAAAATACTCTATACAGATTAATTCATGAAAAACAATTTTAACATTTTCTTTTATCCACAAATCATTATGTTCAGATAATTCTATAAAATTTCCGTAACCTGAGAGGTTATTGTTTAGGCTTTATAAACTTCAGTTTTTTGTTGACTATAGTTAACTGAAAATAAAAACTCTGAAAACTTGCCTGTCAGAGCTCAAAATAAATGGAGAACAAAACCAAACAGGTAACAAACGTAAAACATTATGAACAAGTGAATTACCTTGTTAACTTCATTTTCTGTTTCAGAATAATATGAAACAATGAGAGGTCCTAGAACTTTTATATATGTGACAATATTAAGGAGAGGAAGAGAGCATATAATCCATTAAGCCTAGTAAAATATATATGACTGCTTCTGTTCCATTACTATTTTTTATCAATATAATGTTTTAAAATTAGCAATTTTTTTATTTTTATTTTTTTAAATGTAATATAATATACTGGATATGATACAGGGCTTTATGATACATGTGTACTGAACTGTCTGTTTTCTATCTAGGTATTCTCAACAAGCTAAAATACAGTTACTTCATTAGTTGATTATACTTTGGAAGAAGTAACAGTTGCTTTTACAATTTTATATTATTCAGAATAACATGGCTTTTTTCAGTAAATCAAATTAGGGAGAAAAAAACGTATTGAAATAATTATAATGAACAAGAAATGTACAAACCTATACAAACTCCATGTGAAGTAATTCCACTGCATGTGAAAGGTTTGTCCGAGTTGACGGGGGCAGTGACATTACGTGCCTGGGGGTGATCCCTCGTTCCCATGACGATGAGTGACCAGTTCTCTAACTTGGCTGTAAAAATAAACAAACATATTACAACTTCTGCCTTACAAGTAACAAGTATTTAATGGTAAAGTTAATTTTTTAGACTTGCAGTTCTACAACAATTTAGCTTGTCTACATTGTTAGTATATCATACATCGATAATCTTTCTTTCATTTTAGTTAGTCACAGATCATCACCATCATCTTTTAGCTGTAACATCATGCTCACTATACATGTATAACACCTCTGATAAATTTTAACTTGTAACTCTTTATGTTCTTAATTGATAAATAATTAATTGTTAATTGAAACTTAATTGGACAAAACAAACAAAACAAGGTTAACAACACACACATAATACTGCATGAATGCCCTGATATAACACACATGTACCATCTTATTTTCAAAGTCTTCTTACACTATCTTGTCTATAAACAAGTTCAAGAAGTTATATATCAATGTATACCCAGTAATTAACAAAGACGTTATTAAACCTGTAAGGAAAGTTATTGTGATAAGTGAATACTATTGTAATGTTTACAACACATATCCTTCTTCTTTACCTTTCCTTCTATAGGCCTCTTCTGATGCAGGAATAGGAAAATATATTAGTTATAATGAAGGTTCAAAATGTAAAAATCTCAAACAGTCTAACTTATATAGTGGTAGATTTAAGTGCTTATCAGGTTAAAAGACGAATCAAGGGAATATGAAACTGACATGGAAATTTAAACTTAACAATAACCATGTGAGAAATTATTTAGGAAAGAATACGGTAGGTATAAAAAAATCACCTAGGAAACCTGGACAAATAATTTTCATCTAACTTAAGAGTAATTATATATTAATTGGATATTTTTTACTTGCAAAACACAATAATTTAACAAATGTTTTTTTTTTATGACAAAAAAATGATGTAATTGCTCAATGCCATGTATTGATTTGTTCAAAATTGTAGTTAAATATCTTAAGGTTTGAAGTACAATAGCCAGCATTTCCAAGTAGACCATACAAATTAGGTTATACACTTTTTTAATAACAAAACACCTAGAAATAAAATTTGAAAAAAAGAATTGAAAAACAATCAATTTCAGATGTTTCAAAACATCACCTTAGTGCAATAACTGATTAACTGCTATTAAATTTAGAAGGACTTATTCCGTAATTGCACTAAGGCGGCAATTTTTAAATTATATATACTCGGGGGAAAACGGCGAGGAGTATAGAGCCACAGGTCGGACATTACAGGTATGGCGTGTAGGCTGACCTTGTTCTTTATTACTAGCATATACTGTCTAACATCATAAGAAACTTAACAAAATTATATATACAGTCATCTACTTGGAATTGCCTATAGAAACACTGGTACAACATTATACACACAAAACAGACCTTTATTACAGAGATACAACAACAAGTTTTCTAACAAATTCTACATGTACATAATGTTACATGTATTACAGTTTTTTTTCCAGAAACAAAATTTGCTGAAGAAAAAAAAAAATGGCCAAACAGAAATAAAATAATGTTAGATTTGTGTTTTAGTAGACGTTAGTAAAACTAAAAAGAATACAGTCATCAATCCAAACTAAAAATATCTTGGAGCAGATGATGCTTTTAACTAAATCTACAACAACATCAAGCATGCTTATCATGTGACTGTCATGTGACCTTCCCAAAATCCTTTGTCCAACATGCCCTTATTTGGTTTTTAAAGAAAATAGTGGGAAACAGAGATTAAAAGTTTAGAGTAGAGGGCAGCACAGACCTATTCAATAAGATGTCTGCCTTTCAATTCAAGGACCTTTGTTACTCCAAGAGGTTGTAGCTTGTATCTTTCCTAGCAAAAAAATTACCATGGCAACAATGCTACGGCATTTTAGAGAAAGAAAAGACTATAGAGGTAGGAATTAAAGTCTGGTCTTACAGAGAACATTTAAAGTGATCAGTACAATATATGTCTAATAAAAAAAGATAATGATGGTGTAAATTCTGTCTGGTGTTTTTACTTTAGCCTTTTAGCAAGGACATATATTGACAAATTTTAACAAACTAAGGTCAACAAACATATAAATTTTCCGAAACTCCTTGTTTGTCACAATTTTTTCAAAGAGACATTTCATTTTTTAAAAATAAATCAAATTTAAGGATAGTTCACATTTAATTATATCTTCATAATGCCCAATTATTGCTAAATTCCTGCCTACACAGGGAAATGTCAGATATTATTTCAATGATATAGATGTAGAAGGACCTCTGTGTGACCCAGTAATCATCGATGTACAGACATACAGTATTGATTACACTATAGAACAGTTTAACAAAACAACACAATTTATAGCTAGAAAGGCAGACAAGGTTTTATTAGAGATGTTAATTGAGCGGGTGAGAAAGTTTTAAAGTGCAGTCTCTAGGCGAACTTTTCTTATACATGTCAGTGTAAGATAACTATGGCATGCTGGGATTGGTCACATGATATGGTCACATGACATTGTCTTGCCTGAGCTGAGGTCTTTTTTTCTCATCATCTGGTAGTACTGTTTTGTGGACATATTGTTCTGTTTGGCCAGTGTCTCAAATATGCACATATGTTGCTCATTTTTACTATGGAATCCGTCTCTCATTTGAGAATAATAATAGTATCTATCTTTGGGCTTGGCCTTTTTAGGCTTTTTTGGCTTCCTATCTTTTTTATTTTTCCGGGTACTCGGAATGTGTTGATTTCTTATAACTTGATTTGTTATTTGTTGGGTATTCACGGGGGCATAATATGGAGAATCTAGTTCATGTTTACGTATACGTTTGACGGTGGTTGTTGTCGGGACAGTTGTGGTGGTCGTAGTCGTGCTGGTGATGGGTTGCTGGGGGTTACGATCAGTACCATACAATACAAGTACCCAGTCCTTGAGGCGAAGTTGTCCAACTGAAAACAAATCAGCGTTCCTATTGTTACATACATCATACACTACAAATATCTACACTGAGCTTTGGTGCAAAACACTATTTACTAGCATGTGCAAAGGTTACAGGTTTTATAATCATTCACTTTACATACTCGGAAAAAAAGGGTGGAAGAAAACCATATCTATATATCAACAACATGTAATTGAAATTCTCTCATATTATAACCATACATGAGACATCTGTTCTTGTTTACAACAACCAATGATAAACTTTGTATAGCATTATTTCATCATGTCTGCTTATATGTCATCTAGTCTTGTATTAAACAATAGGTCCCGTTTTTGTCATACAACCAGTCAAGTATTACAGTGGTAACTAACTTTCCCAGTTCTTGCTGTTTCTAAACTAGTATTAATTTCAAATTTTATTATTTCAAATTTTATTATTTCATCATATACAATGCCAGTTGTAACACTAACATACATTTTCAACATAAATCCCTTATTCTCGTAGATTTATCTTGCTTTAATTGGATCAGTAAGTATCAAAATAATAGCATTATGCAGCCAACAGTAAAGAGCCTGGCCTCACTGCACAGATGTTCCGTCTGCAGGTTCAGATGACACAGAACTCTCAAGGGTTTGATAAAATATTTAAAAGATTCCACCCGTGTTACATGCTTTTCTAAATACAACCAAAACAATATTGCACCAATGCTCAAAACAACAAGTTAGTAGAATTAATATTTGTTAAAACATGAGATTCTCTAAAGCAATGAAATATGACTTACATTAATACAGTACAATTTTCCAGACTTTATGAAATCTTTAATTTAACATCCTTAAATACTTCAATGTGAACAAAAAGTATACATAAAATGGTAAAAATATTTCTTATCAAAAAGGCAGTGGTGAAATAAAAAAAATAAAAAAGCATAAAATTATAAATAAGCTTTCATGCCAAATATAAAAAATAAAAATAATGATGGCATTCACAGATACAGAAAAATAAATAATTGTACTTTAAGGCATATACAAGAACCATAACTCCGCAGAAATAAATCAGGGGGCACAACCAAGTTATCATAATTTACATGTTACCCATTACATTGATGTCATGATATATTGAAATAAAAAACGATCGACGAATCATCAACAAAATAAAAATGGACAAACTGGTCATTTTTTAAACATATTGTACAATGATACTCTCCCATAAGACAGACAACTCAAAAGACAGGGGTCTAAATTTTAACACTTAAAAAGGGGGTGTACAGAAATAAAGGTATGTTTAAACAGGCACAAACTAAAAACTATGCATGTAATGAAGTATATAATAAAGCATAAATGATCAGAGCAGTCATGCAGCAAGAAATAAATATTCCTGACATAAAATTACAACAATATATATATCAAAAGATTTAAATATGAACAAAATAAATGCATCCTTATTTCTTTGAATACAATAGAAGAACACACAAATGTTATTATATCATTCTAATTTGTCCCTTGAAAATTAAAAGCAAAGTAAAAAAGACAATGTCTTAACATATTCATAATTGTTTTTTTTTATCTCAACAATCAGAAAGAACAATCTGTTACAAAGATACCAAATAATGCATACATAAACTAAGCAATTTGTAAAAAATAGATATTGTATCTTTTATTTATACTTTAAGCAAGATATCTGGTCAAAACATGCTATCTGAAAACAAGAGAAATTGCACATTCTTAAACTCTAAAAAAATATTATACATGTAATAAGAATTTCTTGACCTTTACCCAGTTTGTCATATAACTCAGTCTAAAAAGGTAAGCTTAAAATAAATTAATACAAGGAACATCGCAATGCGATGCAACCAGGTTTTCAGCAAAATATTTCACAGAAGCTTCGTCATGCAGGGGCATTTGTTTTAAAGTGAACACCTGCCTGCCCACCCAAAATCACAAAACCCCGATGATATGCACAAGGACTCTTGATGAGAAAGCTTCTGTGAAAGTTTGTCAAAATAGTTTGTAGGAAGAGGTGTGCAAATAAGAATTTGTTCACTTTATATTCTATATATGGAACAAAAACAATATATTTCTATATAAGGGAAAAAAATAAATGGCCATAATTAGGTCAAACATTATCAAATCTCATAACCCTGACAACATGCAGCAAGAGTTATGACAAAGCTTCTGCGAGAGTTTTGTCAAAATCCCTAGAGAATTGTAGGAGTTGCGCACAGAATTGCGCAGAGAAGAAGTGTTCACTATATATATTCTGTATAAGGAAAAAAAACAAAGGGCCATAATTAGGTAAAAAATTATCTAATCACAAAACCCCGACACTATAATGTGCTATGGCACTTGATGACAAAGCTTCTGTGAAAGTTTGGTCAAAATCCGTTGAAAAATGTAGGAGAAGTTGCGCACTGTAGAAATTGTTCACTATTATATTCTGTATAAGGAAAAAATACACAAAGGGCCATAATTCGGTAAAATATTATCCAATCACAAAACCCCGACAATATGTGCCAGGCACTTGATAACAAAGCTTCTAAGAAAGTTTGGTCAAAATCCGTTGAGAAATGTAGGAGGAGTTGCGCACAGAAGAAATTGTTCACTATAATATTCTCTATAATGAAAAAAAAACAAAGGGCCATAATTAGGTCCAATATATACCAATTGCAAAACCCTGACAATATGTGTCAGGGCACTTGATGACAAAGCTTCTGAGAAAGTTTGGTCAAAATCCGTTGAGAAATGTAGGAGGAGTTGCGCACAGAAGAAATTGTTCACTATATATTCTATATAAGGAAAAAAAACAAAGGGCCATAATTAGGTCAAATATTATCTAATCGCAAAACCCCGACAATATGTGCCAGGGCACTTGATGACAAAGCTTCTGTGAAAGTTTGGTCAAAATCCGTTGAGAAATGTAGGAGGAGTTGCGCCCAGAAGAAATTGTTCACTATATATTCTATATAAGGAAAAAAAAACAAAGGGCCATAATTAGGTCAAATATTATCTAATCGCAAAACCCCGACAATATGCGCCAGGGCACTTGATGACAAAGCTTCTGTGAAAGTTTGGTCAAAATCCGTTGAGAAATGTAGGAGGAGTTGCGCACAGAAGAAATTGTTTACGCCCGCCCGCCCGTCCGCCCACCCCCCCGCCCGCCCGCCCGCCGACATACCTCAATCTAATAACCAGTTTTTTCCTTCGGAAAACCTGGTTAAAAATTAATTAATGACCCTTAAAATACTTTTAAATATCAATGTGTGTCACTAACAACAAAATTCTGTTTCAAAATACTACAGAAAGGTCAATTGAGGTCTGGGACAAATTTTCAACCAAGATTAAACAAAACATAGGTACTTGGTTAAACTGTAGATTTCCAGAGTTATAAAAACATGTCAGCCAAGATCAGACTTTGAGAAATAAATGCTCTTTGTTGTGTTTTATTGACAGGTGGTTTTAAGAAACAGGTTACTGTTACAGTTTATTTAAGCGGTTCTACTGTTGGCCTATCCAGAAAAATATATAAACTGGAAGTGTACCCCCATTTGAGACATAAAATTAATAATAAAACTGTAACAAATATAAAGAGAAAATTGACTGAAACTAAAATTTTGTTCAATTCTGTACAAAGCAATAAAGGACAAAATGTCCAAGCCACAGCTACATTCAAAAACATGCATAATGATATATAAAACAATTTGTCCTTCCATTCTCTCCCCTGTCTAACAGCCACAGAAATATAATCATCAACATAACATAAGCTTTATACTTGTACATGTTTTAAATAATCATATTGTTATAAAAATTGTCTGCCATAAGTACAGTTTACATTAGCTCATACAGAAACAAGAAAGCTAAAATCATACTGAATAAAAACCCCTACAAATAAACCCTAGCCAATGGATGACAGTGAAGAAAACTGCATACATCTAATGATCAATTTTAGCACACAAAAAAATGAACTCTACTATAATTAGAAAACAACTAAACCATGTAGTACTCAATCTTACACGTAAATATGATTGTTCAACAAGGGTTTCATGTCTTTACAATCAATCAAATCAAGAGTTATGGAACATAACTTGGAGGAACCATGTAGGAACCAGTAGAAGGCCTGTATTATGAAGGCCTATCCATAAGATATCATACTTGTGCTAACTAGCTGTTATACTATGTTCTCAACGGTACTTCTTTATAACTAGGTGGCACATGGAATGACTGTTGTAATGCCTAACATCAACTTTCATCATAAGCACATGGATAAAGATGTTTAAAAAAAACCAAAGCTATATGATGGCAAAATGAAAGCTCAAAATCGTATGAAAAAAAAACAACTTAAAATAGCAAAAGCTTTGCATTAAACATCTTCCAGTGTAAGTGTCAATTACAAATTCACGTCAACAGACGTTTGATCACATGTAACCATCCGAGACATCAGATGTTTTATCAAAGACAAAACATCAATCTCATCAGATGCTTGATCTAAGTCACCAGACACTTGAATCACCTTGTGACATGATCAATATCTTAAGATGCTTGATCAATAGTTTTAAGAAAATGGTGCAAGTTCAGCATTGGTATAACTGTATGCAGTTTTGTAAAGGGGATGAATGTAAACAAAGTTTGAGAGGTTGACAACAAATTCTGAGATAAACTTACTGCTTTGCTCAGCATCATTGGGGTAATATGGTGGTATTGCTACAAAAATAGGTTTCATCATTTAATTCATAAATACTCAAAAATAAAAATAAAATAACAAAAAAAAAAAAATTCTACATTTAGTTTCATTTATCTTCAGGCCTGTAAGTTATACCTCATGCATTTATTTTTAGAAAATTTTATACAAATGATTTAGCCATCAAAATCTAACACTGTATCTAACAACTGTTAATGTTTATTGTCCTATATGACTGACATATCAAAACATTTTACTGTCACATCATGATATTTTTCATAAAATTATTTGTCAAGACTCAAAACTAAATAGTTCATGTATACTGTGTCAGTTTGTTTTTTCTCCATTCACATGCAACAAACAAATGAAAACTTTGAGATATAGAGAACAACACTGCAGCCACTATATATAAATATCGTCACAGGAACATCAAAAAATGTTTATCTTCTACACAATATAGTTAGTTCATATTAGACTAACACACCTGAAACACTCACATGTACAGGAAAAAAAAATTTCAAGTTTCTTTAAAAACATGACTTCGACCTTTATCCCTAAATGAATACAGCTGTGACTTAAGAAACAGATAGATATTTTACCCGATCTGTTACAATAAGTTAATGTTAACATAAAGATTCCAACTACAGTGTATTACCATGGTAATAAAGAATCAGTCATCTTAAATAAATTGCATATTTAGCACACATATTTCAACATTCAACAATTTTGCAAATATTTGAGAGCTCATATTGGATTTAACTTTAAACTTTTTTTAAACCAAGGAATGAAGCTTTTATCTTCATCTTTATTGATTTTATCTTTATTTTATTTCAAAGGAGGAAATCTCGTGCAAGTATATCACATGATAAGATATTAATGTACTTACAAGAACGTGCTGCATTTTCTATCACAAGCACCCATTGACCTTTGGCCAGTTCACCCCAGTTATGTGTGGTCATGAATGCCCAGTTGTTAAAACCTTCCCTCGAATTATCATGTACTCTCTTTGCCAGCAAGGTAGAAGTGGTTCCGCTCGGTGACGTCAGATATATTTGTACATCACCACGTCTGCTCGCTTTCAGTGTAATACGTGCCTGCACGTGCTCGAGATATTTAACGTGATTATTTGTGCCCTCACAACCGTCCGTCACCAATGGTACAGATATCTTCCCGTTCATTGGTACAACCCTAAAAATTAATTCAATCGCTATGTATAAACATATTGTATATTCAAGTTATAACACATATATTAGATTTAAAACACATGTATTGAATTTATAACATACATATGCCAGTTACAACACATATTTTCAAGTAGTAACAAAAATATTCATGTGACATCACATATATAGGTGACGAGACATAACTACTCAGCCACGGAAGCCCATATCACTGATGTAAAGTTCATATACATATAATGTTCAGTACCTGGAATACCTCTGAAAGCTGTTATTTATGTGTCTATAGCAGAATTTACTGTAATTGAATTTCTTATCATTTATAATATTATCTCTAGTCTGTAATCAGGCACAATTTAATTTGACAAATTATATAAATAAAACTTTAGCATTTAATTTTAACTAAGCATATAATTACAGTAGATAGAAAGTAAATCAAATCACAGACATTTAAATCATAATACATTTATTTTCATTTGGTTGAGTTTTAAATTTGCACTGACAATTCCAAGGTCATGTGGCCCTATTCCAACTTGTACTGGTGGAGAAAGACCTCCGATACCTCGTTGTTCATTATCATAATAATTGTCGGTACAAATAAATCATACTACATTTATTACAATAATTATACTGTCTGTACAAACAAATCATACTTGTTATGGTCTGGTGATCGGATTTCACAGATATATTGAGGTGGAACTGTTGTCCAGTTCTTTGCTAATTGAACCATGGCCGCAGCATCCATCAACCCATACCCGAAGGAATGACTCACTGTAAATATACAATATATCATATTTATACTGAATTGTATGGTTTCCAACAAAGCATCAAATAGTTCCATACTGACTGTAATTATCAACTAGCCATTGGCGTCAATATCTTTCACTACAACACCTTACTATATTAAAGAATTTTCACAATAAATATTGAAGTAACAACTAGGTCATTGTAGCCAAAAAATAAATACAAAACTAATTTCTAATATTTTGAGTAATTTATAATAAATGATTCTAAATCCAAAGCAGTGCGAATATACAAAGGTAACAGGATAACAGTTTATGACGCACCTTTTCTATCCACGCCATTTGTAATCCAGGTGTTATCATGGAGGTAGTCTGGTTTAGCTGTCATGACAACAATATGTTGAAGGTCACGCCAGGTCAACATTGGACTGAAATTATACATTTACAATTATATGTAAACATTATATAATTATATATATCAGGTTACATCATTTATCTATCTTCATAATAAAGAAAGACAAATTTTGTTTCTCTAAATATTTTGACACTAATATTATTCCTTCCCTTGATTTATCAATATGATATACATGTATAGAATAAATGGAACATTAGAAACGTAGACCTTTCATAATATATATTAAAGTATAAGAGCAAAGGACCAATAAACATGCCTAATTGAGACCTGTGTAAAGTCATTCCAGTTGGCTGTACTTGAAGACTATAAATGAGGCAGCTTTTTACAACTAACAGTTTTAAATTCAAGTTAAGAAAAGTCGATTTACATACATTTTTCAGTGGAGTTTAAAGTACTAAATGAAATAATGTATAAAGAAAAGATAGCAATAAGGATCGTACTTTGCCTGGAGTGCTAATGCGCACATGCCGGCAGCAAGAGGTGCGCTGGCAGACGTCCCTGTATGAGTTTCGGTACAACTATTCCTGATATCCGTGGTAACCTGACGTAGATAACAACAATCTTATTATCATCAGACGGCAATATAGATTATACACATTTTTATGACAGTTTTATTTTTTTTTTATCTTAAGTGTATCAGATGATGATATAGTGATGTTGTATAAGAGCAAAACACTGCACATATATTCTCTACGCCCTTCAGCTCAACACCAGTTTTTAGCCATTATCTTTTTTCAAAATTGTGAAACAGATTATTTTTTGTTATTATCATAACTAGAATTATCATTTTTACATTTACAATGACTTCAACACAGTATTTGATCATATGGCGGGATAATTACAATCTGTTATCTATGTAACAAATATCACATGTTCGTTCAAATGAAATGCAAAACCTAAAAGGTCTTCCAAAAACAACAGAAAAAAAGAATTGCTTTATATGAAATAAGTTACCTATTAGCTAAATTAAGACCATTTCTTCAAGACTTTTTTGAAAATAAGACCATTTTTGTTGGATTGTTTTGGAAATAAGACCATATTTGTCAGACTGATGTGGAAATAAAGCCATTATTTCCAGACTGTTTTGGAAGTAATGTTTATGAGCCTATTATCAGTTAAAAACTTTTTATTGGTTTTTTTTCTTTGCTTTGTATGGTTTTGCATCCAACAGACATTTTAAAAGTCATATGATGACCTTCTAGAGATCTTTCTGCATTCCCTGACCTCACAAGTATAATCCATTATATTTCAGGGACAAGCAGGCACCTAAGTGGAATCACTGATCACTTTACAACATTTACATTTAACTAAAGTGAAAGCAATGAAGCAGATGCAATAAGATTAAAATTTAAAAAGTAAGAAAAACCAAAGTTTAGTTGAAGCTGTTGATCATTTACAGCAACCTATCAGGTAAAAGATAAAGCATTGAACATTTACCAATGAAGAAATTAACACATTAAAAGATAATTCTAAGTTTGTGACAAGATGCTAATGTATCAAAAAATCAGGGTTTTGAGTGGAAATCTACAGAAATAAAGACGAAGAATTAGAGCGTTGAGACAAAGATCTGATTCTCGGATACAGTTAGTCTCCATGATAATAGAGTACAGTATTACAATAACTCACTATCTGTCTCTCGCCAGCAGATCCACTACTGTATGTTGTAGCTAGAGTCGAGGAACACGCCTCCGAGTACCACGGTATCTTGCCGTTCTCTGTAGCACTACTGATAGACAGCGTGTATATACTGTTTGTATACCCGTCACAATTACAGCTGTCATGATCACGCCCGCCGTTACCCGACGCCCACACAAATATTGAACCTAACCCGCCACGACCCTGTAATATAAATGTCATAAAGTCACAATAAATACTGTTATGTTCTTACCATTTACAGCCCACATGTAACAACACTTAACAATCAACATTTTACAACACTTGAGACCAAATATTGCACAACTTTAATCATATTTCTACACATATTTCAAGGAATTTTTTAATTACATGTATGTAACACTTTAATTTGCATATAATTTATAGTTACCCACTAATATTTATAAAAGTAAAATCTCTAGGCTAAAAGAGAGATCACTGCTATACAATGCATTTTTTTTCCAAACCAAAGTTCCTTTCAATATAATTATGTACTAGTTGACAGGAAAACTATAAGCTGGAGAAATAGTGCAAAAACAAATGGCCAGAAAGTATCTTCTATATAAACTTAAATTAATTCCCAGACAGACAATGTCTTAGTAAATGGTCAAAACTTCCATCTACAATAAGAAGAGAATCTTCCCTGGTATTATTATGTTGGTAAAAGAGCACAATCATTTACAATGGCAGCCATATACAAACATTTTCCGGTTAAGTTATCTCGCCATTATCAGCATGCCTGATACATGCCCTAGTAAACGTCACTAAATGCCATAAAATCCTATTGATTACCTCTTGTTATCACATGATAAAACAAAACAAAACTCATTTTTTGCCTCTCAATTAACGACCATAGTTTATACAAACATTATACCTAATGATGATAAAGTTACAGGCAAGAAGAAATAAAAAGACAATAAAATAACATTTAATAAAGAAGCTGTATGTTTTGTTTCATTAATAATGCAGCGAAGAAGACCCCCAGCATTGACCTAGAATTCTCATAAAAACCTCCAATCAATAAAAGCATGGCTGGCGATTAAGAAAGCACATGTTTTATATAGCCTACTGCACCTACGTTGCCCCTCAGTACATCTTTACAAGTCGGAGGTAAACAAAGTACAATATTTATGACCTGTTTCTGATAACAACTGCAGTATGGACATAAAATCATTTCATTATTTAGTCTTAGAACCAAACCCTACATACATCATATGTACATCATTATAACAGCACACTCCTGTAGAATTATATTTTAATACCAGACTTTATATCTTAATTTTCATGGAGACCATATTAGACAGCTTAACTCATACACTAACCTCCCACCAGGCAACATGTACTCTACTAATTCACTCTACTAATTGACCAACTAATCTTACTTAATTGGTAGACCTTTATTTAGTATATTTTAATCATCTTCAAATCATTTCAAATTGAAATCATACATAACTTACAGACTTTCAACATTATCTTAATTGGTTATATAATGTACCACCCAATATAAGGATATAAATAATAACTATGGTATATTATATAAGAGAGATATGTCCAAGATGAAGACATATCAAAACAACACAGCCATAATACCTTTCATGTCATCTTGGTATATTACAAACCATTAAATTTATAGTCCATAACTTTTTTTTTCTACAGAAATAAATTAATACTAACAAGAATTTGATAGTATTGCGGGCAATACAGTAGTCCCCTACCGGTCCCTCAAAAAGTTCTTTAATTGTCATACACTCCTGTGTATTGCCATTTATAATGAATTTGAGGATGAAGTCTGTATTTGAAAATATCGACCACAAAACATAATAAAATAAGTTTGTCTATATCACAGTAATGTGTTAAGTTTCCATGCTTAGTAAGGAAATTATGTTTATACAACCTTGTCATATTATTACGATGTGGGATTTTAAAGTAAATCCTATAAAGAATGAAGAAGTTGGAGTGAAAATACCAGTTTCTCGAAAAAAATCTAAGTTCAAGGGGGACATAATTCTGGAAATAGTCTTGCTAGAGTATTTAACCTTCTCAAAAATGTCGAGTGATAATAAGAAACATATATATGAAGTTTGAAGTAGATACATTAGGAAATAAAGACGTTATTTAAAAAAGACAACATTTTTTCCCCTAAAAAATCTAAGTTCAAGGGAGGTAATACTGATATTTTTGTGCTAGAGTTATAAACCTTGTCACATATGATGTGGTTGATGACCAGAAACTTATATTTAAAGTTTGAAGTAAACACCTCAAGAAATAAAGAACATATAGTGAAAAAGCTGAAAAATTTAAATCAGAAATCTTGAAATTCAGGCTATTTTGTTGCCATAGCAACCAGAATTTTCAACATAGGAAGAAAAGAAAAAGATGTGCATAATCTCCAGACTGCCATCTACCCATATTTCAAGTTTCATGAAAATATTTTCAGTACTTTTTGAGTTATCACTGGATCCAGTTTATGTGTTAAATTTGCCATATTTTCAGACTATTTGTTGCCATAGCAACCAGAATTTTCAACATAGGAAGAAAAAAAAAAGACGTGCATAATCTCCATACTGCCATCTATCCATATATCAAGTTTCATAAAAATATTTTCAGTACTTTTTGCGTTATCGCGGGATCCAGTTTTGTGGACGGACGGACTGACGGACTGACAGACGGACGGACAGACGGACGGACAGACAGACGGACGGAGGGTAAACCTAAAGTCCCCTCCGGTTAAACCGGTAGGGGACTAAAAACAGGATGTGTTTATAAACACAAAATGCCCTCATGTGGAAAACAATATGTAGCATGATATACTACTGAACCTGTCTGCACGTCCATTTCCCTGTCTCAATTTATTTACCAATGAAAGTGTGACAACCAGTAGCATTAAAATAAGCAATATTATAATCAAATACTAACAATTATAATTTCTATATAATGCAAAAACCATGTTCTTTAATTTATGTAATTAATTTATTATATATCACAATATATTATACAAAATTTCCAAGTATATATTTTTATATTCTAATATATCTGGAAAATATCAGCTCTTAATCAACATGATAACTTATATACAGTACATATTCATAAATAACTTTCCATGACCTTTCACCAGTTTGTAAACTCAACTACAACTACAATAACTGGTTGATTTTCTAATGATTCGCTTCAATTTGATCATTTAGGTTCATTCATATTAGAGCTATGGGAATACAGTCTATCTCGGTGAAACATTTTAACATTCTATTGGTAATATTTGATTTCAAAATAAAACAGACACCATATGGACAACATTCCTTCCACTGATAGTCTGAAATAATCCATGCTGAACCCCCTTTCCTAAATACTGTATGCACAATTTCCTCAAAACTTCTCACATTTATGTTTTGGAATGTTATTTTAAGCAATATAATTTTTTTAACTTTTGAGGATGCCAAATGCTTGTATAAATAATTCATATGTTTCTCTTTGAAATTAGAAACAACAGGTCAAGGCTTCGATGTATACTTGTGATTTCTAGAATATTGATAATTTATTGATTATAACCATTTGTTGTTTTTAATCAAGTTTGCATTACTAGCATATAAGTAATGATTGAATAATTTATCAGCAAGCCTAAACATATGTGGTAAGCAAGACTTTGATATAGCTTGAAGATTTACACTTTCTTGCTGTTGGGATTCTACCTAAAATTGTTTTGTTGAGATAATTTTATGGCATTCCACATTAAATAGGTTGAGGAAATTCCTGTTTTGCCTGTCCATGCATCACTTCAGGGCATAAGATGTTAACTGACTATAAGAGCCCCGATGAGGGTCCAAAACAATCTAAATAGTTTCCAATAGGGGAAAGCTTCATTTATAGAAAAACTTATTTAAAAAAAGGCTTTTGCCCCAAATTAAAAATCCCAGCCCCCCGGGAAATGCCCTTTCCACGCCCCTTTTACCCCTAAGGGGGTTTAAAGGCCCAGTAGAGGCCCTTTAAAGGGTGCAGGGCCCCCTTTTGGGAACATTGGAGAAAAACCTGGGTTACTGGGCAAAGTATTTTAAAAAAATTTCTATAAAAAAAAACTGGAAAAAAAAATTAAAATTTTATTTTACCCTTTTTTTCCCCATCAAAAAAGGCCCTTGCACCCAAATTTTAAGCCGGCCCAAAACCCAACAGTTCTCCCTCATCATCGGGACCCCAACGGGGCACGAGATCTGTACATGTTGGGGTTTAAAATGAGAGACTGCGCTTCCACAGAGTCTGTTACATCACCATCCAGCATTCTCACTCCTGAAATATTCCATATATACTCGATGTTAACAAAACAACAAAATATCAACAATAAAAATACCCATCTTAATACAAAACATCACCTCACCTTCTAACTTTTCTTACACCTCATTTCAATGTCAATGTTTTACATGCTAACACCTGTAAAATACATTCAAATATTGATAATTATGTGAAAATTACCACAAAAAAGACTACTACAAATCGTTGGCATTTTTTTACTTATTATGACTTTTATCTAATCATTTTTTACATTAACCCTAGTGATCTCCTCAATTACATTAATAAGGGAGGTATTGTTTCAACAATTATAGTTTATCAAGGGTTTAATGCTAATTTAGTGAAATTTTGGCAACAACTTCACCAGGCTTTGTTCTGATTACCATTTGTTAAACGTGGCAGGAAATTGAATTAAAATGTTGAAGTTGAGTGATCTGGTGAGAAGTGTTCATTGATTGAGTAAACATGACTTTGCTTCAGTTAATAAATCAATTTACAGAGAATAATCTGTCAAAGACAAATTCAAACAGAAGCCACTTCAATAGCTAACATATCACAATATTTTCCAGACACCAGTCAAAGTCTATGTATAATAGCTAAATGTTTGTATTGTCAAACAATAATTTGTTACTAGTCATATAATCTAATGCAGTCATTGAATTTAACATGGCAGGAATTCCAGTTTTGAGTTTCTTAAATTTACACTGGCCCAAACTTATTTACACTGGCTATGGGCCACCGGGCAAGTGCTAAATTTAATGAATGCTAATGTCTACTTGACTTGAAAAAAAATGTCTTCTAGGCAGGAATCAAGTAAACATTTAGTATAATTTATCATTTTACAAAATGTAAAACATGCATGGTACACAATGCACCAGTAAAAATACTTATTTCCTCATTGTAATTATCCTGAACTAGAAAAATATTTTTAACAGCTAAATACAAGGAAACAATCTGATCTGAAAGAAAAACAAGTGGACTTTTTTTGCTGTTGTTTTTCTTTTGTTTGTCTCTGCAATTATCCTTGTCAGTAGTTACAATAGCTAGAAATTCAATATATAATTACAGCCATCTTATATTATACAACCTGTCTATGTTTACAAACAAAACAAAACATTCCATCATCCATCAAAAGAACTGTAAAACCTCTTCCCCCCCTAAAAAAATCCCAAACACTTGTCACAAATTGGTCTAATTATGTTAAAATCCATGACAGAGTTATGTACTCTTGCCTTAAAGTATCTGTGATTTTCATAGTTTCGAAAAAATGCCTCAATGTGTAAGGTGAAATAGAGGGGATGGTACAAAAACATTTAATGGAACTGTGATGCTAACATAGATGCAAACTCTATAACTTTTATCATACAATTTGTATGATGAAGCCCAATTATATTTCACCAATTATATTCTAAAATAATATTCTAAAATAAATAACTCCAAAAATAACAAAAGCATATCTGTCAATTTTAGTTTACATCAAAATTAACCCTATCATGATAATGTTGAAAGTTAATTGATTTTAATTGACAGTGCATGTAACTGTACATGATATACGGAGATAAGCCAGCAGACATGGGGTACTGTACTTGAAGAGATAACGCTAGGTTAATGTTGTATGCTGTATGTTGTGGTTGTATTAATTTATAGCATTTATTGACTATATTGAGGCTCAGCACAACATCACCGTAGCTAAATAATGAAATAATGAACCTAACCACAAGGTACAGCAGTGTGTGGCAATACAATGCATCAAAATTTGATCATGTTAGAACAGATAGGTTGATATTTTACACATTGTTGATATTTTACACATTGTTTAAAGTAAGACTGTGTTTCTCCTCAAGCAAATCTTGACCTCCATTGCCACCACGTTGCCCCCATACAGTACCTCAAGTATGATGACATTAATTCTGTGTTGCCCCCATACTGTACCTCCAGTATTATGACATTAATTCAGTGTTGCCCCCATATAGAACCTCCAGAATGATGACATTAATTCTGTATCACCCATACTGTACATCCAGTATGATGACATTATTTTGTGTCTCCCCCGTACAGTACCTCCAGTATGATGACATTAACTATATGTCACCCCATACAGTACCTCTAGTATGATGACATTAACTATATGTCACACCCGTACAGTACCTCCAGTATGATGACATTAATTATATGTCACCCCCATACAGTACCTCCAATATGATGACATTAATTCTGTGTCTCCCCCATACAGTACCTCCAGTATGATGACATTAATTCTGTGTCACCCCCATACAGTACCTCCAGTATGATGACATTAATTCTGTGTCACCCCCATACAGTACCTCCAGCATGATGACATTAATTCTGTGTCTCCCCCATACAGTACCTCCAGTATGATGACATTAATTCAGTGTCACCCCCATACAGTACCTCCAATATGATGACATTAATTCAGTGTCACCCCCATACAGTACCTCCAATATGATGACATTAATTCAGTGTCTCCCCCATACAGTACCTCCAGTATGATGACATTAATTCAGTGTCTCCCCCATACAGTACCTCCAATATGATGACATTAATTCAGTGTCACCCCCATAAAGTACCTCCAGTATGATGACATTAATTCAGTGTCACCCCCATACAGTACCTCCAATATGATGACATTAATTCAGTGTCTCCCCCATACAGTACCTCCAATATGATGACATTAATTCAGTGTCACCCCCATAAAGTACCTCCAGTATGATGACATTAATTCAGTGTCACCCCCATACAGTACCTCCAATATGATGACATTAATTCAGTGTCACCCCCATAAAGTACCTCCAGTATGATGACATTAATTCAGTGTCACCCCCATAAAGTACCTCCAATATGATGACATTAATTCAGTGTCACCCCCATACAGTACCTCCAATATGATGACATTAATTCAGTGTCACCCCCATACAGTACCTCCAGTATGATGACATTAATTCAGTGTCTCCCCCATACAGTACCCTCCAATATGATGACATTAATTCAGTGTCACCCCCATACAGTACCTCCAATATGATGACATTAATTCTGTGTCACCCCCATACAGTACCTCCAGTATGATGACATTAATTCTGTGTTGCCCCCATACAGTACCTCCAGTATAATGACATTAATTCTGTGTCTCCCCCATACAGTACCTTCAGTATGATGACATTAATTCTATGTTGCCCCCATACAGTACCTCCAGTATGATGACATTAATTTCTGTCTCTGATATCCTACATACAGACTCGCTATAACTTAATTTTGAGAGAGGAAGAATGAAGAACTTGTACGTCACATGCCATATGTTATAAACAGATGGTACTGCTGCAATTCAATTACGATATTGTTCTGATATTTATAGAGACAGGGTTGCTAAAAACTTCTGGAATTTCTATTAAAATATGACATTTGCTGTTGAAAAATTTCCAAGCAATAAAATGATAGCAGAGACTGCATCAAACATGACGTAATTGTAAAAGTTTATGATTTCAAATGTCTGATTTTATACCGATTGCCTAAGTACACACACACAATCTTCAAAAACTTCCAAGACAGTTTTAGGAATGGCTGTACAGCTTGGAGTTTTCACAACAAAACTTTTGAACAGATTGTTCATGGAAAATTCTCTAGTAATTTGTCAGTATTTATTAAATTTTGGATGAAAAATTTAATTAGACATTCTTTGTGGCATGGATTATTTCTGGTAATCAGACATCAAGTGATTGGAATGTTGGTTATTAAAGTTGATACACTGACATCACAGTGTTGTGACTAGCTGACACGGTCATATTAGAAAATCAGGTACTGTCAAATAGTAAAATATAGTATAGATGTTTTTCATATAGCATATTATTACCTCCCCTGGCAGCCATTTTTGGGGTCATTCCCAATAAGATAAAAATCTCTAATAATTCTATGATCTTTACAAAGACTGATAAAAATATTTTACCTATTGGTGCTATGTTAAAATTTTGCTGCATAAGTATAAAAGTATTAGACAATTCATGTACATCAGCTATTTTTTTCATATTTTGTCAATTATATTATATAGAATATTGGGCCCCCTTTTGGAAAGGGAAGTAAATATCGTAAAAACTGGAAACTATCTATAAATGGCTGCCACTTTTGGAAAGGGAGGTAAATATTGTAAAATTTGAGAATTATCTAAAAAATATAAATACCTCCAATTTTAGCATCATATGCTGCACCCACACTGCACTCACTGTTGTTAGACTGGGCAGCCACTTCCCCTGCACATCTTGTACCATGTCTATAACAATAACAAATCAAATATCGTTACAAAGTAAAACAACTATGAACAACTTAATACATTGATTTACTGGTTTGGTATAATTTATATTTGAGTCTTATATTTTTGAGTTAGCGGTTAACCCTTTGAATGAGAACAACCTAAATAACTTGCATTACAACAATTCCACAATGACATGTCTTAATTCCATCAGTGTTAGTTAATTGTCCACAATTATGCCAGTGTTACTAATGGCCACAATTATGCCAGTGTTACTAATGGCCACAATTATGCCAGTGTTACTAATGTCCACAATTATGCCAGTGTTACTAATGGCCACAATTATGCCAGTGTTACTAATGGCCACAATTATGCCAGTGTTACTAATGGCCACAATTATGCCAGTGTTACTAATGGCCACAATTATGCCAGTGTTACTAATGGCCACAATTATGCCAGGGTTACTAATGGCCACAATTATGCCAGTGTTACTAATGGCCACAATTATGCCAGTGTTACTAATGGCCACAATTATGCCAGTGTTACTAATGGCCACAATTATGCCAGTGTTACTAATGGCCACAATTATGCCAGTGTTACTAATGGCCACAATTATGCCAGGGTTACTAATGGCCACAATTATGCCAGTGTTACTAATGGCCACAATTATGCCAGTGTTACTAATGGCCACAATTATGCCAGTGTTACTAATGGCCACAATTATGCCAGGGTTTCTTATATTCCTTATTAAGATACCGGTATGTAAAAAGGTCTTTAATATATACAACATTATACAAGTTCAGACTTTACCTACTACTAGTAAATGTCTGAAGTTTAATATACTTTCTTTACAAAATGCTTTGTTGGGGTTATTTTTTTTCTTGGTGTTTTTTTTCTGTACAATTTGTAAAAAATTAAAGAAGACCAGACACTAGAGGACTGACAGAAACTGAGAAAGGAGCAGACAAGATAGATTGATCAAATATCTAACTTCAGGAGTATATTAGGACACCAGTACACACTTTTTTTACAACAGAGAGGTAACCCTATCTAGACACTTACCAGCAGCCCTAGAAACATAAAACCATCTGCCAGTAAGTGTAACATACTGTTTTCTATAACATGTTTATGTTTTTGATGAAAATATACCAAAATGTTATCTCATGTTTGAAATCTAACTTTTCATCAGGTACATCTGATGTGATCCCAGTTCAAAATGTTCGTGTTTTTTGCTTCGCCTTTACAACATGTCAGACGTACAAGATCTCCTGTGAATGGAACAGGTACGCTGTTTTGGCAGTAGGGAGTGAAGTTTCTACGTAAAATCCATCAAGTTATCATAGACCATAAAGTAGACGCTCAGTACAACGATCAGTTTCCACAGTGATAAGTTTAACAGGCAAAAAAAAAGAAAAACAGTCCAATAACACAGTGTGAAATGTTAAACATTGAACATACACCATTGATCAGAAACCAAACCATCTCAATAGACGTTTATCAGTCGGGAATATATCAGCCATCATTCCTAAAGTCTGTATAATAACATGTTACTTAAAATAGTATAAAAACTACCCCCATCTCTTCAAGTGATCTGTTTGATTTATCATAGAGGAGGTTAGTTGTATAAAATAGTTTACAAATTTCTGCATTTCCTAGATAATACGACTTGCAGTATGGTAAAATATATAGATAATTCACCTGTATTATTACCCCCTAGTCATTCTAACAAATTCCACCGATACATTGTTATAAAAAAACATTTAATGTATGATGAAATATATCTTAATATATATTACTGTCTAAAAATATCAAAGAAAAAAAATTTGAACTGATATAATAATTGTATATAAATTTGGTTAATAACTTCACATATTGCATTGATACTAAAATAGTGGGTAGAAAGGAAACTTGGTTAATAAATTCACATACAGCATTATTGAAATAGCGGGGTAGAAATACTTCACTGAAGTTTTACTGCCTCTCGAGGAAAAAAACCAAGAGTGAAACAATTAATGAGTTTTTTTTATAGTAGAACATAAACAAACATGGGGAAATAAAACCATGAAAAATATTTAAGAAACATTAAATGAGCAATATAATCCCTAATAAAACCGGTACATCACACTCACTGTGAGTAAATATTTCCCAGAAAAACTCCTATATTTCACAGGGTTATGTTGAGACTGGCAGACAGACCTAATTAAAGATAAACAAATGATCAGCGTCATTATGAACTCTTCAAATGGAGTAGAAAATCGTGTTTACATGTGCTCCATACATATATCACATCTACCTTTAGCTAATTTCGACCAATAGCACTTACAATGATGATGAAAAAACACATATATTTCACCTGTAACAGTTCTAAAATACTTCAGAAGTTGTGTCACTGAAATAATTCAAAATCTTCATTTACATTATTAAATCAGAATGATACACAGTGGTAAAGGTGTTAGCAGAGGTCGAGTGGAGCCCTACCACAGCCTGAACAAAACGTTATAATGCGGAGAAAAATAAATACAACTTTAAATTCAATGTTATGTAGTATATTAAACTTTAAATTCAATGTAATGCAGTATATAAAACTTTAAAATTCAATGTTATCCAGTATATTAATTTAACTTTAAATTCAATGTTATGCAGTATATAAAACTTTAAATTCAATGTTTTGCAGTATATAAAACTTTAAATTCAATGTTATGCAGTATATAAAACTTTAAATTCAATGTAATGCAGTATATTAAACTTTAAATTCAATGTTATGCATTATATTAAACTTTAAATTCAATGTTATGCAGTATATTAAACTTTAAATTCAATGTAATGCAGTATATTAAACTTTAAATTCAATGTAATGCAGTATATTAAACTTTAAATTCAATGTTATGCAGTATATTAAACTTTAAATTCAATGTTATGCAGTATATAAAAACTTTAAATTCAATGTTATGCAGTATATTAAACTTTAAATTCAATGTTATGCAGTATATAAAACTTTAAATTCAATGTTATGCAGTATATTAAACTTCAATGTAACAAAATAATAATGTTAAATAAAGGTACATGAAATTTTTAATTATATTACGAGGCTGAATAAACTTTAAATTCACAAGAATATTGTATAATATGTAATATAAAGGTATTAATATTCATTTCTTTAAATCAAACTTATAAAAATTTTAATTCACTATAACGACTTATGTTAAGATGACAAAATTCCTTTTTGAAAATATAGATCGGGCTGTTTAAGGTTTTCTGGTAAAAAAAATTCTGTTTTATATTATACTGCTTGAACAATCATTTAGATTATGTGACCTCTAGTTTTATATATAATGACTAACTTAAATCAATGTACTTTGCTATATTTTTTTAGGGGGGAAAATCCATGAATCTAATCTCAAGGCAGCATGGCCTTTAATGCTGGAAACTAAATATACATTATATTATATAAGACGATGCTTGTATGATATTTGGTTATTATAGAATATTTCGTATGATTGCTGCAGACAATATTGGCATCTAGAATTGATTGAATGCTTAAAAACTATACCCATAGACCTTCAGCCAGCTCAAATTTGCCTTTTATAGCAACATAAAAATACATACTGCCAATACCACTGTGTAATATATTACTAATATGCTTGTTTGGCGAGAGGTTGTCTTTGGCGGAATGTTGAACAACGATTTAGTTTTGACATCAGCTGTCTTACTTTAAAGGCTATCTCAGCAATTTTCCTATTTGAGATCGGACAGTTTTTGATATGATAATTTTATTTAATATCATCATCATCCTAATAAGGAAAATTAAGTTAGTTACAGATTGTGCGTTTATTCAGAAATTTTTCCTTTTATCTTCCTTGAATATATATAGGAATATTAAAGCAACATTTATACTGTCTGTAACTCTTCAGACAAATGGATGGACATGAAATCTGCTGTTGCCAACATGTTGTTTGTTTTTTATGCTGTTTTTTGTAACCATTGTTTTGGCATAACTAAAATGGCTGTTTTTGTAACCTTTGTTTTGTCATATCTTGGCTGTTTTTGTAACCATTGTTTTGTCATATCTTGGCTGTTTTTGTAACCATTGTTTTGTCATATCTTGGCTGTTTTTGTAACCATTGTTTTGTCATATCTTGGCTGTTTTTGTAACCATTGTTTTGTCATATCTTGGCTGTTTTTGTAACCATTGTTTTGTCATATCTTGGCTGTTTTTGTAACCATTGTTTTGTCATATCTTGGCCGTTTTTGAAACCATTGTTTTGTCATATCTTGATGTTTTTGTAACCATTGTTTTGTCATATCTTGGCCGTTTTTGAAACCCTTGTTTTGTCATCATCTTGATGTTTTTGTAACCATTGTTTTGTCATATCCTGGCTGTTTTTGTAACCATTCTTTCCTCATATCTTGGCTGTTTTTGAAAAAATTGTTTTGTCATATCTTGGCTGTTTTTGTAACCATTGTTTTGTCACATTTTGGCAATCAGTCCACATAACAACTAAACAGTAATTACCATTTTCTCTGTAAGTGACTGTCTACTTATCCAACATGTACATGAACTTTGTTATACATTTATAAAAATTGAAATTTTTATTCTTCTCCTTGACTTATATTATCATATACAGACTTTATTCAAACAACCATACTTTTTTTTCATTATTTTTTTACAGTATCTCTAACAACGGAATATAATAACGTCTTATATTGCACACTAAAATTGAATAAAGATTGCTTAATCTCACACCTAGTGATTTTTTACGCATGCAATAAAAGATTTATAGTAAATTAAATGATACAATAAGGAATCTGGAGATAGGTATCTAAATGTAAATACAACAGTAAATGTCAACATGAAGATACTTATCTCAAACACAACACAGCAATAATGTACGCTTGTACTCCGGTTTTACCACCGCCATCAAATGTTTTACCACCTAACATCTCACCCAGACTTATTTCTCCATGACAACAAAACTGTCACTCACCCCATCGTTCAAATACAGACACAAGTTTTTACTGAC